TAAGAACCTGAAAGAGTGAATAAAAATTAGGAGGTATGATAGACATTGTGAAACGAAAGGAAACTGCTCAAAAGTAAAGAGCAACTGGGATGAGGAAAAAGAGAAAAGAAAGAAGGGGAAATTATGTATGTATGTATATACAGGATAGCTAGCATAGTTATACTACTGACTTTTATCGCTTTACTGAAAGGAACAGTTAATGATTACTTATTTGATCAATCTTGCATGTCTGTATTTATTTTCCTGAGAAGCCACTTTGAAGATATCAATACGTAATACAACAACCATTGTTAATTTCCTACCACTTTGTCTGTAATTCAGTATTGCCTGTATTATTCTTATGCTACTTTGTAAATGGATGTCTGTTTGTTAATATGTTTTCTTTCTTTTATTTCTAAAATAAATTTTTAAAAAATGGAAGCTAAAAGAAGAGAAAAGAAGAGAAAAAAGAAAAGGAAAGGAAAAGGGGAAGAAAGGCAGATGCAAAAGCAATGACGGGAGGTTTCACAACACCACAAGGAAGCGCTAGAAAAGATAAACCCAGTCTGGCAGTGCAGTGGGTGAACTTGAGTTTTTAAAAATTGGAAGTCACTTGTAATGAGTTCGGTGTTGAAAAAATCTATAAAAACAATCATGCAAGTTCAATGTTCAATTGTTTTTTTTTTTCTTAACAATAAAAACAAAAAACAAAATCAGTACTCACCCATTAGATGCTTCAAACTGTAGATTTTCTCCGTCTACAACAGAACAAAGCAGTGCACTCAAATTTCAGCTAATTCAAATAGATTTTACATATTGGTTTGTATACAGCTATAGAGAGAATACCATAAAAACATGTAAATTGTTGACCGTGATCTTATTTTTCAGTAATTCAGGAAAAGTTCCTGCAGCCCACCCGGCTCACCGGGTCCTGTAGGCTGTCTAGCTTCTTCCACACTCACCCTACTGGGTCCCCGGGGTGCCTGGACTCTGGGTCCATCCAAGTTTTGATAGCCCTGTTAGCACTGGATTAAGGAACAAGCACATTGCCCACTAAATGCCCACCTCTGTGACCAGCTGAGGGGTAGACGATAACTCCCTGGGACAGCGGCAAGAATTGCATTCCTGACGCAGGTGTTACCCTGGGCATAAGAACAGAACTCAACTCCAGGGGCGCCTCATTCCCTGAGACAGCCTAAAAGAACCAGACGCAGCCTGGAACTGGAGGCTTACTTCCCCCTCTCCATTTTATTTCCTTCTACTCTATTCATGAATCTCTCAGCCAGGCTCCAAACCACCACAGAATATGCTCTCTTAGATGCTGCTCTATCACTTTCTGTTTTTCGGGTTTTTTTGTCTTTTTGAGACAGGGTCTCACTATGCAGTTCAGGCTGGCCTTGAGCTCACTTTGTAGCCCAGGCTGGTCTCGAACTCGAAACGATCCTCCTGCCTCAGTCTCCCGAGTGCTGGGATTACAGGCATGCACCACCACACCTGCGGCCTTAATTTCTGCCAGGACTGGGTCCTTGCCCGATATCTTACTAGGGGATACTAGGTCCCCAGGGCCCTTGGCCGGCCTGCTGCTTCCCCACAGCCTTGCTATGGCCTTCTGCAATAGGTGATCAGGGCACACAGGAAGGAGGTGGCCCAGGCCACAGTGTCCACCTCCTTCCTTGGGGAGGTGCTGTATCCCACCTTTTGGTTGCTTTCCGGTTCTCTTTCCAAACCTTAGCTGATCCTGGCAGACCCTCTGGGTACCCCACCGGCTTCTGTCTCCGCAACCATCACCAGCTTCCGGTATCCTCCTCTCCCACTTCCACGTCCCCACACAGGACTTGGCCAGTGCAGAGTATTACGCCCAACAACCCCCAAAAGGGAAAGATGGAGGAAGATGGCGTATGAATGAATTGGAGGGAAAATATTTATCTGTCAGAGCTTTGTAAAGCACTGGACAGATGTCACATGCTGGTGTCCCTGACAGTCCTGATCTCGGAGCCTTGGGCACCACCTCTCCCATTTCCTGGACACCCTTGAGCCTACACTCTTCCCTGTCCTGGGCCTCATCAGCTCACGGGGTTTCCCCAGGGCGCTGGCTCCAGCTTAGTCACTCCTGTCCACTGTGGACCCTCTCCGAATCCTCAGAGCTCTTGCTGTTTGCATTATTTATGGCGATGTTTTCTCTGACCCTGCTGGGAGCAGAAGACTCAGGGGATCTGGTTTTGCTGTGATAAATTGTGTGAAAAATCTTTTACAGATATTGGAGTATCTGTAAAAGGAAGGAGTTAGGATGCCTCTGGGTCTGTCTTCCTGTTCTGTAGGGTTGTTCTTTTTATCTAAACTGTAGGCTGGGGTCTGGTTCTTCTTATCTGGATTTTACATTCCTTTCGCAAGCTAGAGAGCATGGTGCTAGGTCTCGAGGAGGACCAGGGAAGTGCGTCTCTGAAGTGTTAGCTAAACACACGTCATGCCCTCCCCACAAACACATATCTGTACCCACAGTTCGGGCCAGGGAGGGTCAACGAGAATTTAAATTGTAGATTTAAATTTGCCTCTTTTTCTTTTTCTTTTCTTTTCTTTTTTTCTGAGACAAGGTCTTGCTATGTGCTTTATGGTGGTCTTAAACTCACTTTGTAGCCTGAACTGGCCGCAAACTTGTGGTGATCCTCCTGCCTCACCCTCCCGAGTGCGAGGATTACAGGCGCATGCCATCACATTTGGTTTAAATTTGATATTGTAAAACTTGTAAAAAAGTCAATTGATCTAGAGTCACCAAATTAATGTATAGATTTTATGCAACTCCAATCAAATCTCCAACAAGCCTTTTTTAATTCCAGAAATTGATGTTTACTCTAAAATATATTGTTGGCACTCTGTGTTTGTCTCATATCCACGTATTTAGCCAACTGTGAGTGGAAAATATTTGGGAAGAACTTGCATCTCTACAGAACACAAATAGATTATATAGATTTCTTTTGTTATTATTTCCTAAACAATATAATGTAAAAACTATTTACATAGTGTTTGTACTGTATTAGGTATTGAAAGTAATCTAGAGATGATTTGAAGTATACAAGAGGATGTGTGTAGGGCTGGGGGTGTATCTCAGCTCTCGTGCATGAGGCCCTGGCTTTTATCTCTAGCACTGCAAGAAAAAAAAAGGTGCACAGGTTGTATGCACAGGCTATGGCCATTTTCTATAAAGGGCGACTACACATGGATTTTGGTATCTGCTGGGAGTCCTGGAACCCATCCTTACAGACACCAAGGGACAACTGTGTATGGAAATGTAAGGGACGTAGGATAACAAAACAATTTTAAAAGCAAGAACAAGGGCCAGGGATGTAGCTCAGCGGCACAGCGCCTGCCCAGCAAGCGTGAGGTCGTGAGTTCAATTCTCAGTACCAAAAAAAAATATAGAATAAAATAAAATAAAAATAAAAGCAAGAACAAGATTGGAGGACTCCAGCAACTGATTAGTGAGCTCATCATAAACCTGCAGTAATCAAGATAGCGAGGGATCAATGTCAAGATATGCAAATAGATCAATGGAACAGAATAGGACATTGAAAAATAGATGCACTTATGCATACTGGCAACTGGAGAAAGAATAGTCTCTCATCAGATGGTGACGGGCCAACTAGACATCAGTATGGAAGAAAACCTGAAGTTCAATTGATAACAAAACAAAACAAAAACAAAACCCCTCAAAATGGATTAAAGACCCAAATGCAAAACCTAAGCTACAAAACTTCCAGAAAATACAGGAGAAAATGTTTGTGGCCTTTTGGACAAAGAGACATTCAATATGACACTAAAGCATGATTCCATCACCTAAAGAGTCATAGGCAATCTAATCTGTTAAGCAATAAGTCATTTATTGGAGGTCTTAGAATTGCAATTCAAGGAGCACAGAATCCAGAGGAAACCAGGATGTATCTCATTAGGGAGAGCTTTTGAGAATCTTTCTAAGGGTGAAAAAGAGGAAAGATGTAAGAATTATTGTTGGAGGATAAACTTACTTCTACAGTTCATTGGTTCAGTAAAGGTCAGCACAGACCAAACCATTGTTCTAGGAAGGGTGTAGTGTATACAATTTCAGGATGTTCCTTCGCGGTAAATAACTTTCTTCCAGCATGTCAGCAAGTTCCTGGAATGGCCACCACAGCACAAGATGGCGTCTGAATCACAAATGGAGTCACTGCTGTCAACTTTCTTTCATAAACTATACTATTTTCTGTTTTTTTTGTTTTTCTGTTTTTCTTCTGGTACCAGGAATTGAACTCACGACCTTGAGCTTGCCAGGTAGGTGCTGTGTCACTGAGTTACGTTCCCAGCCCCTATTTTCTGTTTTTTTGAGATAGGGTCTCGCTATGCAGTTCAGGCTGGCTTTGAACTCACTATGTAGCCCAGGTTGCCCTCGAACTCCCAGCGATTCTCCTGCCTGAGTGCTCCTGAGTGCTCCTGAGTGCTGGGAGGACAGGTGTGTGCCACCACACCCAGCTTTCATACATTTAAAATTAAAATTTCTGGCTCTTCAAAAGTTCCTTTAAAGAAAATGAAAAGATAGGCCAAACACTGGAAGAATATTCTCACAAAGCATTTATCTGATAAAAGATATATCCCTAGGAGAAATTAAAAAAAATTTCAAAACATAATAATAAGAACACAATAAGCAAAGGTTTGAATAGATACTTCATCATGAAGATACACAGATGGGAAAGAAGCACACAAAAAAATACTTAACCACCAGTTACAAGGGAAAAGCAAATGAAAATCTTGGTGACTGTTGCACACTAATTAGGAGGCTGAAAATGAAAAAGATCGACAAGGCCAAGTTCCACAGCCGTACACTGCTGTGGGAATCTAAGATGGTTTAGCCACTTTGGAAAGTAGCGGTTTCTTAAAAAGTTAAAACATACACTTGTTGTATGGCCTAACCATTACACTCTTAGGTATTTACGCATGAAAAATGAAAACACACATCCACACGGATTGTGCTTAAATGTTCACAGTGGGATTATTCAAAATAAGCAAACACTGGAAACAAACTAAATGCTCATTCACAGGTAAATGAATAAATAAATTGGGAAACAAACACTGGAAACAAACTAAATGCTCATTCACAGGTAAATGAATAAATAAATGAATGAATAAATAAACCACATGATGGAATACTACTTGGCAGCCAAAAAGAATGCACTTTTCCATACAAAGCTTCGTAGATGAATCTCAACATAATCACCCTGAGTGAATGAACCAAGATTTAAAAACATAAATGCATAATATGGTACTCTTTGTAGAATTCTAGAGAATGTAGACTACAGTGACAGGAAGTGGATCTGTGATCACCTGGGACAGATGAGGCAGGAACAGGAGAAGGGTATGCAAAGTGGCATGAGGGGACCATTGGGGTGATAGACAAGTTCAGCATCTGGCCTGCGCTGATATTTTCACCGTTGTGTACAGACATTAAAAGGGGCTGGAGACACAGCATGTGTGAGGACCTGGGTTCTATCCCCAGAACTGCTCCTGCCCCCCTATATATGTGATCAAAATGTACACTTTATTTTATTTTATTTTATTTTTTGGTCTTTTTGAGACAGGGTCTTGCTACGCAGTTCAGGCTGGCCTTGAGCTCACTTGGTAGCCCAGGCTGGTCTCGAACTCACAACGATCCTCCTGCCTCAGCCTCCTGAGTGCTGGGATTACAGGCATGGGACACCACGCCTGGCTAAAACGTACACTTTAAATACGTACATTTTGTTTTGTCATTATACTTCAATAAAGCTGTTTAAAAAATTGTAATATAAGTTCCCTGTTTAGAAAACTTAATAAACCAAATACGTATTCTAGCTATGTTGATGCCACAGTTCTGGAGCCCTTCAAGTCATTCTTGTCCCTAACCCACACTTGGAGAAAATGGATGTAGGGAGTTAGGAATTCTAGAACAATTCTGTGACTAGAGTGTCATCCCTGGGAGAAAACAAGTGACTTTTCCTGCTAGAGATGCTGTATTTTTCTGTTTTAAATCAGGAAAGCACACAGACTCCATTACCATCACACGTATTTTACACACTGCTTCCCCCCCCACAGTACTTTTTTCTTTTTCACACAGTATTAATAGTGAAAAGCAAATCAGTTTTTTTTCCCCATCTTACTTTTACAAATTAAAATCAACTAGATAATCTTGTTACTCTGGAAAATGCCTGTAGTTTAAATCCAAAACTTTTGTCCCTTGGTTTCGGGGACAGAAAACTGGTGCTGCTGTTTTCCGGCCACGCCCCTTAGCTTCTCTTCTGCCAGTTTGAAAGAGGTGGAAAAGCCCTGAGCGCCCTCACAGCTGCCAACCCCACTGTCACACCCTCTGGCCCAGCTGGTACCAGAAGAGATACAGAGAAAGTGTGAAGTGCTACATTCTTGACAAATTTCCCGAGGCAAAAGTTCTCTTTTCATCATGGTACAATTTTTCTTACCAAACACATAAATCACTGACAATAAATATAATAGGAGACAGGCTTCCACACGAGACTGGCATTTCTTACCCTGGTGACATTGTCTGCAGGGAATGTTAAAATTCGCAGATGGAACTTGGTGTGAATTTTCCCAGCACACATCGCTGCGGTTATGAGGATCAATTAAAAAAAAACAACAACAACTAAATGTGAAAGAGAAAATCTTATTTGAAGGTGACTTTTAATTATTAAAAGTGAGGGACATTGACTGAAATGGTGGAGAAAAAGCCACATTAAAAAATCTCTTTTCCATGAAAATATGGGTAAAAACTGGGAAAATTGTCAGAAGCAATTTTTTCCCTCAAAACACTGGAAATTAAATGAAGGCTGACAGCCATCTGGACAGCACTGATTCAAGAAAAATGGTTTACTATCGGAACGGGTAGTGTGTTTTGCGGTATTTTAACTTGTCCTGGTCCTAACTCCCCCTCCCTTGTAGAGGGCAGCGTTGGGGGAACTAGCAGGCTACAAAGGTGCTGAAACTAACCTGAAAGAATCAATTCAAAATGCAGCGCAGAAAAACCAACTGCAGCAAAGCTCCAACTGTAAGAGTTAACACTACATATTATTAGAAGAAAATATGGTTGTAAATCTTCATGACCTTGGATGAGGTAACAGTTTTTTGGCTACCCAAAACACAAGAAACCAGGGCTGGGGATTTAGCTCAGTGGCAAAGCGCCTGCCTGGCAAGCACAAGGTTGTGAGTTCAATTCCTGGTACTGGAAGAAAAACAAAACAAAAAAAAACCAAATACAAACAAAACACCGAGAAAGCAAAGTATAAAATAGATTTTGTCAAAATAAAAACCTGTTGTGCTTCAAAGGACACTATCAAGAAAGCAAAAACAATGCATGCAATGGGAAAAAATACTTGCAAATTATATTTGACAAGAGTTCTAGCATCCAGAATACATAAATAACCCTTACAAGCCAACCATAAAAGACACGTTAATCTGTGTGCATGGACCAACTCCCCATGACAATTGTAATCAGTATGTACTACAAATATGTACTAATGAAAAGTTTTTAAAATGCAAAGGACACAGAGTTTTGCCAGTTATGAAAAGATGCTCGATGGGGCTGGTTCCGAGGGAAACGTGAGTCAGCGCTGCAGCGGGGGGCTGCTTCACACTTTCTAGGGTGGCAAAAGATAATAATATTAATAATGGACAATAACAAGTGTTAGTGAGGAAGTAGAGAAGCCGGAACCTGCACACATTGCTGACGTGAATTTGAAATGGTGCTACGGCTTTGGGAAACAATGTAGAAGTCCCTCAGAACATGAACTCGGGTTACCATGGGGTCCGGCAACTCCACTTCATACCCAGAAAAATTAGGAATGAAGGTTCACACAAAAAAACTCGTAGGCCAATATCTACAGCACCGTTATTTACAATATCCGAAAAATGGAAACAACCCAAATGCTCATCAATCCATGAATGCATAAATATGGATTCTTTAATCTGAATACATCCCCCAGTGTGCATGGACCGGAAACCTGACGGCCAACGGGAGATGTCCGGACTCCTGCGCCTTCTCACAGGCCCGCACGTGAGCGTAGTGCTCTCCCTCTATCTCCCTCCTTCCTCCCCCTCCTCCCTCTCTTCCCCTTCTTTTTCTTCTGTGAGATGCTTCAGAGAAGACCCGCAGAGGTGCAGCCCCCTGACCTTGGGCTTCCCAGTCGCTAGGGCTGTGAGCCAGTGCATTTCCCTGCGCTATAAACAGCTCAGTCTGTGACCCGCTCTAGCAGCACCAAATAGACTATAACAATGGTCCATCCGTGTACCAGGCTTTAATTTACCCATTCCAAGGAACGGCCTACTGACACATGAGAAACATGGTGAAACTTGAAAAATTATGCTAAGTGAAAGCATTCCATAGAAAGAACGACATCTTGTCAGATTCCATTTACATAAAATGTCTACAGTAAGTAAATCCAGTAGTGACAAAAAGTAGAACAGTGGTTGCTAGAGAGAGAAGGGGAAAGATGGGGATGATCGCTAGTTGGTGCAGCATTTCTTAGGGGGGAGAGCATAAGACTGTCCCAGAGTTAGAATTAGAACTAGATTGGTGATGATTACACAACTTTGTGAACAGGTGAAAACCCACTGAGTCGTATGCTTGATTAAGAAGCTGATGTTGGCAATTAGGTGTGCAGGGAATACAACCAAAAGGTTCATGCCAATACAACCACATACAACTACCCAAACACACACACACACACACACACACACACACACACACACACACACACTCCATTTAAAGCAAGCTCCAGTGTTTCCAGGGACCGTGAAAATGTGGACACGGTTTTGTTTCCTGGCAAACATTCTTGAACACACCCTCAGTGCACACACCCACTATGAAACTGGAGCCAGTGTAGCTTTTCAGACTGAAGTCAGCTGCGGTCACCTACCTTTAATATTGTTTTGTTGTTCCACCAATAATTTACTTATTTCTGAAAACCAGCAATCTCTGATTTCTTTTGAAGGCGCCTGCAATTGCAGAGAAGAAAATACCATGAGAATCGCATCACCTTGAGTATTAGTTGCCCGGGGCTGTCATTCTCTGAGTGACCTTCAGGGCAATGAGACAGAATTTCCTTGTCAAGTGACAGGAACACAACAGGGGACGAGGTGGGGACGCCGAGGGGGACAGCGTGAGTCTCACCTGCAGGATGTATTTCTCTAGTCCGTTTTGGTTGGCAATTTCAAACTTCTTATTGCTCCCCCTTCCAAGATGGTGAATTGAAAGTGTCACCAGCTATTGTAAAGAAAGAAGAGAAATGTTCTACGCCACCGTTTTTTGATGTTAAAATCTTTGCTACCCTGACAGGCCTCTTCCATCTTCCAAGTGTTTTGTTTTCCTCCCATACTGGCCCAAGGCGGCAGAAAACACAGTGTGGCACGGCGTCATCTGTCCCGTCTGTTTTGGAAGGAGACGGGGATATGCTTCCCTGTAGTCTGCAGTCATTAAACTAAGAGGGCATCTGCCTTTTAACACCTATGGTACAAATCTCTAACGGTAAATGAACGAATGTCCACTGAGAAATGCAAACAAATGCAACTACAAATAAATCAGTGGTCTTAATAAGTTGTGAGCATGTGTGTGTGTGTGTGTGTGTGTGTGTGAGAAAGAGAGAGAGAGGGAGAGAGCCGGCTATGAAACATTTCCTGTTCAGGCGAGAAGCAAGGTGTGGACGTGGGTTTGTGGAGCCCTAGGGTCAAGGTCAGGATGCTGCCTACCCTTACACACAAAGATGTGCGTTTGAAGAAAACACTTAGAGAGAAAAATAAAAGACAGATAATAAGAACCAGGGCAACAGATCTTTTGCAGGTGGGAAGGAGATGAAGGGAGGGAGAAGGGAGGGGAAGGGGAAATAAGAAGGATTGAGATGTGTCAGGTACACGTACCAGCCCGCAAGATGAATGTAATCATTAGGCACCGCAAACATGCATTAATAACATTTAAAATGTTTCATCACAGGCATTCATAAAAAAAGAAGCATCGCTCAAGCTGGGGGGTGTGCAGTTGAGAAGGAAAGTCTAGAATGAAATCTAGCTTGGGCTCTCATCACCAAACTCTTTCCCCCGCCGCCTGGAGGAGAGAGGGTCTTTTACTAACTAGTTTGTCCAGTAAGGCTACCGTAGGGTCCCTTTTCTCCACTCAGTACCAAGCTGGCTCTGTGCAGGGACTGGCTACGGTCCTGCGTTTGGGTCGGACCTGGGTGTGTATTCTAGCTCTGCTGCAGAGCATTTGGCAGGTTTGCGTCACCTCAATTTTGGTTTCCTCCTCTGCAAAATCACGATAACAATCTTCCCACCCCAGAGTGTCACGGTGACTCCGAGGATGTGCCACCGCCCCCCTCACCTTCAGGCACTTCTTAAAGCTGTAGCGAGGAGATAGCCCTTGGTCACCAGGCTCCATTCGAATCTTACAGAACACGATTCCCCGTTCGAACAGGTAGATCTGCCTTTGGCTGGGCTTAAATCTAATCAAATCCTTCACTTTGTGACGCTCCCTGTGAATCGTCCAGACGCTGAACGGGCTGTCCATCAACAGCTTGCCCAGCTTTTCGATATCACCCTTTTGGAAACACAGAGACATAAAGGAAGAAGCTGATGAGTCACTTGCTGGAGAAAGAACCGAGGGGTCTGTTTCCAAACTATGAAGCAGGCTTATTCGAGATTGTTCTACAAGGGCTGCTCAGGCTAATCTGTGACTAATCAAATTAGAGGGTCGTGAGCCCCACTGATCGTGGCGCCATTCAGCTGGGTAAGGAAATAAGTCCAGCTCTGGGGGAATGGACATAAAGGGTGTGAGAGATGCTTGAACTAGTGGCAGTGCACGGCTGTAACCCCAGCACTCTGGAGGCCGAGGCAGGAGGATTGAGAGTTGGAAGCCAGCCTGGGCAATTTAGTGAGACTGTCTTAAAAAAACAAAACAAAACAAAACCAAAATGAAAAGGTATTGGTACTCTGGAAACAGGTATTTGTCTTATAACACTGTTTAGTTAGCAGGATTCTGTTTTCTCTCTTTTTTTTTTTTTGAACTTGATCCCAGTCTATTTTATTTTATTTTATTTTTTTGATGGAAACAATGTTCTTTTTTTTTCCTCCAGTACTGGGAATCAAACTCACAGCCTTGAGCTTGCCAGGCAGGCGCTATGCCGTGGAGCTAAATCCCCAGCCCCTTTGTTTTTTTTTTTGAAACAACGTTCTTAGATTTTATTTTATTTTCTTCCAATCAGATCGTATTGGTACATTTTAGGTATATATAATGATCACACTCATCATAGAGAATTTGTACCTGTACACGTTATAACTTGTTTCTTTTTTCCCCCATTCCCCTACCCTCCCTTCAACCCTTTCTCCCTTCCCTATTTACAAATGCTTTGTTTCCAGTTTTTCCTTCTCTCATTCTTTTCTTTTTCCTTCTTTCCTTTTCCCCTCTCCTCTTCCTTGTTCCCCACCCCATTTGAACATTTTTTCCCTATTTCACAACACCTATCATACATTTTGGTCCTTATTCACACTTTCGGTTTCGACAGTCTATTTCAGGTTTTTTTTTTTTTTTTTTTTTTGAGGCAGGGTCTCACTGTGCAGTTCAGGCTGGCCTTGAATTTACTTTGTAGCCCAAGCTGGCCTCAAACTTGCCGTGATCCTCCTGCCTCAGCCTCCAGAGTGCTGGGATTATAAGTGTGTGCCACCATGCCTGGCAGACTGTCTATTTCAAAAGGCAAGAAATGAACTTTTGAAATTATATTCAAGCGAGACAGAATTTTTACTGCAATATAGACCTATGATAATCCGTATTCCATCCTTATACTAACGTCGGCTTCAGGTACATGAGAACTTGAGAACAAGAGATTTAGAAAGAGACAGGCTAGTTAGAGCTAACTCTGTTTTTCACAGTGAGTGTACAGTGAAAAATAATCCCAAACGACAGCTTTCAAATAACATCTTCTTGGCTCCAGGCACACACAGCGTGCCTCTGCCTCCTCCAGCCAGCCCGGCTTCCGCGTCTGCTGTGGCCGAGAGAAAGGACCCGACTTCCTGCTCTGTCCCAGGGCTGGTGCAGTGACGCGGACTAAAGCACAGTGTCTTATCTGATATTTGTCTCTTGACAGAATTAGATCACTTACAGCAGTTAGTCAAGCATTTATCCGCACGAATCACATCACCCAAGGAGAAAAAGCTGTATGATTTCTGAGAGTAAAATACTAGAACTCTGTACATGGTTCATAACTCGATATTTTTGTGGTCTGTTGTTTAGATACTGAACAAACTCATTGTCTTTTTAAGAAAGCATTGAATATACTTCTGAAATTCTAAAACACAGACACCAAGAGAAATATACAATAGCCATTTCTATGGTGCTTGTTGGAGATTTTTCTGGGTTACTTTTCTCCCTTTGCTTTGTAAAATTCACCGTGAAACCCTCACTGAGGAACGCACAGCCCCCAGCGCTGAGCCTTATTCCCCAAGGGTGCAGGGCTTCCTCTGTGTGACTGGAGCTTGGTCTGATTCTGCTCCACGGAAGAAAGGTGGGCAGCTCATGAGGACCCTTGGGGGTCTCACGTGTCTGCCCTGAGGACCCACTCCCACATCATCACCTTAGGCCTCAGACATCACTTTCACATTGATTTATCTGTTTTTTTGAGACAGGGTCTCACTATGTAGCCCAGGTTGGCCTCGAACTTGCACTGATCCTCCTGCCTCAGCCTCCTGAGTGCTGGGATCACAGGCGTGGGCCACCAAGCCAGGCCACCACTTTCACCTTTAAATCTACTGTATTCAATATCATTGGTGTTAGTAGCACAGGAAATGTGTTTTAGCCAAGGAAACCAGTAGAAGTGGGACTTAATATCCACCACATGAACAAATGTTTTTGGTAGTTTTTATTTTTAAAGATACTTAGACTCCACTTTATTCACAATGTTGAGATATATGACAAAAATATGCATTTGGGCAGACAGAAAGTCACTGAGAAATTAGGATGAAGAAAAACGAAGTGAATTAAGATCGAGTTGTACATAAAATCCATTTGCTAAAGTCTCGTAAACTCAACAGCAGATAGCTCTGACCTTATAGGCACTACAGAGGGAAAGAGGGTGAATTATATGATCCATTATGTCCGGAGACATGCACAAACCGCTCGCCCAGGGAAAGTACAGCAATTGCTGTCAGTAAGGCGTATGAGCGATTTCTCCCCCAGGAGACAGTGTCAGCATCCTCAGCCGCACTCTGTAACAGGTGGATGAATGTATTTTAGGTGAAGCTGCTCCGAAAAGCCCACTTGGCCAGTGTGGACACATCCACTCCTCACGTAGCTTTCACAGCAATTCTGCGTTCAGAATGACGTGTCCGCAGTGATGGGTGGGGAGCAAGTCCAGGCACACACTCGCTAATGTGGGGAGGTTGGTTAGGTGTCCCCCGGTGTCACAGGCTGTTGTAGAGGAAGCAGCTGTGACCACAGCCCTGAGACCTCAGGAAGGACTGATTTCGTGCTTTATCACCTCTGGGCTTCCTTCTAACCCAGCCACGGCAGAGCTGTTTGCACCCTGGCAGGCACCTGAGCAAAGAACGTGATCCAGAGAGGACTCGGTAGCTGACCAAGGCCCCGGGGTAAAAGCAGCATGTCAGGGGGCCAGTGTGATCCTTCCGTGACTAAGAATATGACCAACGTGACAATGAGGCAGCGACCAGCAGGAGCTGCAGGCCTGACATGCTTTATGAGAGGGCAGGTTGTAGAATAAATAAGGAGGGAGGAGAGCTAGGAAGAAGGTGAGTCACCTGGAGAGACGAGGAAGAGGAGAAGGCACCGAGGGAGGGAGGGAAGCGGCAACACGGGTGAGAGGAGGGCACAGCAGGCAGACGGGCGTGCCTGGCACACAGGGGTAGAGCGCACAGGCAAGAGCCCCGAATCCCTCCCCAGGCCCCCCACACGCAGTTTATTAAGAGCAGGACTTTTGCCTGTGGGGAGGCCTCCCAGCCCCCAAAGGAAAGAGGCAGAGAGACTCCCCCAGCAGGACCCAGGAGGCCTTGCAGAGCTTTCCTTTTTTTTTTCTGGGTCTCAGGAATCGAACTCAGGACCTTGCACTTGCCCGGCAGGTGCTTGTGCCGCTGAGCTATATCCCCGGCCCTTGCAGAGCTTCCCAAAGAGAAGTATCTTTTCTTTCTGAGCAGACTGTAGTTGTTGCCCAGGCTAGCAGCCACAGGCACCACCTTTTGCAGGTATTTGTGCCCTAGTAAGTACCCCTGTGTTGGCATTTAGTGGTGCCTTGGAGCAGGGGACATGAACCTAAACACTTAGCCTTGTGAGACAGTATCAATTTATTCAAGAAGTTAATTCAGCGATGTCCCTGTCCTGGGTTGAACAGTGTCCCCCAAAAGACTCAGGTCCCCAGGAGCCTCAGAATGTGACCTTGTTTGCTGATGTAATTAGGAAGATGAGATTGTACTGGTGCAGTGCGGGTCCTACTCCAGTGACTTGGATCTTTGTACCAAGAGCAAACAGAAATACAGGGACACACGCAGAGGGAGGCCAGCCTTGGGAAGACAGAGGCAGGAACTGGACCAATCCAGCTCCTGGTGAAGGAGCTCTGAGCTTTGCTGACAACCACCGGAAGCCAGGAAGAGGCAAGGAAGATTCTTCCTTGCTGGCACCTTTGTGTGGATCATCCAGCCTTCAAAACTGCAAGAGAATAACTTCATAAGTATGTATGTAAGTATGTATGCATGTAATGTATGTATGCATGTATTTATTTATTTCTGATATTTTTGAGACAGTGTCTTGTGTAGGTCAGGGTGGCCATGAACTCACTATGTAGCCAAAGCTGGTCTCAAACTCACAGCAATCCTCCTGCCTCAGCCTCCCGAGTGTTAGGATGACAGGCGTGTGCCACCATGCTGGGCATTTGGGTTGTTTAAAGTCCCCTGGCTTGCAGTACTTTATTACAGCTGCCCTAGAAGGCGAATATACCTCCAACCATCCTCCACCACAGCAGTGGAGTGTGGCTCCCAGCGGGGCATGCCGAAGAAGCCGACCGTTGTGAGAGGGAACACAAGCAAGCCACACGTCCGACGGCCTCCTCCCTGTGGCAGGTGACGGCAAAATAATCCAGAAAGTGATACCATCTCATGCACGAGAATTCTTCAGGCAAGAGCTCTGATATGAGAGGGTGACTGCACTGTCGGGTGAAGAGCTGGCCTGCGAGACAGACCCGGGGACGCGAGGGTCAGAAAGAGACCGAAAAGAGGTCTTGTTCCTGGCAGTGAGAGCTAATGTGGCAGAGTCCTTCTTGTGCAAAGAAGCAGGAAACATCTGGATAAATGAATCTACCGGCAGCCTGGTGCAGAAATGAAAAGCAGAAGCTGTGGGAACCGGCGACCACAATAGCCAAAGGCGAAAGGTCCCTTCCTTTGCAGGCTGGTGGTCAGGGCCTGGACGGCTCGGCAGGCTCGGGCAGTGTCTACCAGGCACCTACAGTGCTGGGCACCTTCCCTGTGGTTTAGTTGTCATTTTTTCCTGACAGCACCCGCTGGGGTTGGTACCTCGAGGGTGGGAAGACACACAGGCAATTT